TTTGTTAAGTAATTGAAAAATCAAACACCGATAGTAGAATGTAATGAAAATGGCAGCGTATTGATTCAGAAATAAAACTATTTGAAAATAGACTTAGATTCAGTTATGATAGGATGCTATGACCCACATGATGTTATCAGGATTCAGTTCATCTCTTTTCATCTGTATTGGCTACATTCTCAAAAAGACTCCTCCCTCATCCTCACAAGATGTTAGAAGCTCATGAGCTACCTAATGTCAGGTTAAAATCCAGTAGTAACTATTGAGAGTCTTTCCTAACATAGTCAAAATCCTGGGATTTGCTTTAACTGGACTTGCTCCCTTCAATCAACCACTGCACTGGACTTGCCTCAGTCAGCCACCGCACTCAGAACGCAATGCACTGATAGACTTAGGCCTAGGTCATGCACTTCATTTCTAGGGCTGTGAGTGGACCCGTATCTAGACCATGTGGACTGAGAAGAAGTAGAGTCCAAACAAAATATTAGGTCTGGTATTGAAAGAAGGAAAAACAGATGATGGAGAAACAAATGACAACCACCTACTGCAATTAACCTCTTGGCTGCCTAACATTCACATACAATTTTAGTGCTAATATGTATACCTGTGTGTGTGTGTGTGTGTGTGTGTATACATATATATATATATATACATATATATATATATATATATCCATGTGTGTATATACATATATATACAAAGAGAGTCCACAGTCCACATCCATACATGACATATATGATATACTCACTCAGTCTCCAGAAAGAAAAAGTGAAATATTTGATGGTTTCACCCTACTTCAAATTTAAGGTTAATGGGTGATGTACAGTCCTCATAAGGTACCCAACATGCCCAATACACAATGGCGGAGAGAGAACAAAAAAAACCAGAGTTGGATGGGAAACATTGGTTATCATTGCTTCAATGCACATATCAAATTCTATTTTATTTACCTATGTATTTCTACATTGTCTGGAACATAGTAGGTACAATAGTATTTGCTGAAATAATGAATGCACACACAGCTGCACAAGAATGGGAAAGGCTGATTGTCCCAGCAGGAGAATGAGTTCCTTTACCAGCTTGTCAACTTGTGCTTGCTCTTCCCTCTAAGAGAATGGCTGCTGTCCTCTGCCTTATGGCCACCTTTTCTGCTTTTGGTAGAATCCTCTGATCTTTTGTTTTCTGTTCCCATATCTTAGCATGGCATTGCCAAAAGTGTCTCCATTATTAGCCTGTTTTTGTTGTTATTGCTGTTGTTGTTGACAACATTTCTTAGACCTCAGGGTTTTCTTAGAGACTAAATATTCATAAACAATTCCTCCTACAAATTGTCTGGCTCCCTTAGGAACATTTGAGGTCTTACTAGTTTCAAATACTGACCTCCATAGGCCAGTCTCCAGATATCTTATTGAGTCATGATCCTTGAAATTGGATTCCAGCCTGAGAATTTCTGTTTCTCAGTGATAAGACTAGGGCTCTGTCCATCCCTGATGTCTTCCCCTTAGTGACCTTCTACTTTGTGCTGCCCAGAGCAATTTGAAACAATAGTTGAGGTAAGAAAACTCATCTGGCACTCAGGCAGCAACCAGTCGCACCTTAAGAACATAAATAATTACCCTGTTTGTCACATAGAGAACAAGATGTGCTCAGCAGTGATCTAAAAAGAAGTTAGCCCCACATCCTAATGGTATTTTCTGATATGATCCCTACCTTCCTGATGGGGTTTGCACTAATTTATGATTGTGATAAGAATAAACTTTTCCAACTCTGCAAAATTCCAAATCACCCAATTCTTATCTTCCTTATTCTACAGGGTTCATGCGGAAGGGCATCTCTTAGCCAGGTTGTACTTTCCTTCCTCTCTGGTTTCAGATATGCAAGGTTCAACATAGGCTTGTATAATTCTGATGGGACATTACTATGCCTTTAAAAAGGCCACAAAAGGCAGGCATATGTTCCAATATCCTGAATTTCTCCTCCAAATTCCATAATGCAGCAATGTCTATATGCCTATGGTTTGAGGTCTGGGATATAACAGTTTGAGATATGGCTACACTACCAAACAACATGAATCACCAACTTCTAAGTTGTGAATACGGGTTCTCAGTGTCTTTCACTCTACTTCCTCGGCTTAGCATTTTCATATTTTAAGATCTAATACTTATTATTCTCTATTCCTGACAATGATTTCTGTGTGAGTAAAGATCTTATCCATGATAAACTTTCTAAATATGAGGTATCAAGCATAGCCATTAACTGGGTGACAAAACTGAAAAGTCCAGGAGGAGACCTGGCTTTGTAGAGGGCTGGAAAGAAGGTCTCAGCAGTCTTGTCCTAAGATGCATTGAGCACTGTGACAAAGGAAATGTAATCTGACTTTGAGTGATGTGTGTCACTCTTAGGACAAGCATGGAACACTATCCAGACATTAGAAGCTGAAAGAGGGGGAAGGGAGAGTCCCCAGACAAAAATTAGATATGTAGAAATGGTGTTGCCTGAGTTAACTCAAGAGAAAGCTAAAAAAATTTGAAAAAAAAAAAAAAAACTCAATAGCATGTTTAGTCTGATTGTCAAATGTCATATTTTTATGATAGAATTATTGTTCAGCAAATATTTATTTATTTCCCTTTCCCTTTCTTGTGTGGGTGAAATTTTTTTTCCTGAATCATTAATGCCAGACCTGGCCATATGAAATTCTACAGCAAATGGAATGTTAGTGGCCATGACATGAAGAGGTCTGCCATGAGCTTGTGCATTTCAACTTGGCTCTTGTGCTTTGGTAATCACCATGAGAGGAGCACACTGCAGATAGAGCTTTCCCTTTACCCTGGGCCCCAGAATAAACACACTTATAGAATATCTGAATCCAGCCAGCCCACAGCCTGAAGCAAAGACAACTAGATGAGACTATTCAAGACCAGCTGAACTGCAGGTCGGCCTGCAAAATAGTGAATGGAAGAACAAATGCTTGTGCTGTCGGCTACTAAGCTTTGATATTATTTGTCAGGCAGCATTATTTTGGCAAAATCTCATTAAGACATCCTTGCAGTAGATGCTCCAGAATTTCTTTCTAAAAGCAAAAAACATAGTTGGAATATGAGACAAGAAAAATTATTTGGAAATTGAATTTTCTTTTCTTTTCTTTTTAAGACAGTGTCTCACTCTGTCACCCAGGCTGGAGTGCAATGGCATGGTCTCAGCTCACTGCAATCTCTGCCTCCTGGGTTCAAATGATTCTTCTGCCTCAGCCTCCCAAGAAGCTGGGTCTACAGGCATGTGCCACCATACCTGACTAATTTTTGTATTTTTTTTAGTAGAGACAGTTTCACAGTGTTGGCCAGGCTTGTTTCGAACTCTGACCTCTCGATCTGCCCACCTTGGCCTCCCAAAGTGCTGGGATTACAGGTGTGAGCCACCGCGCCTGCTCTTGAAATTGAATTTTCATAGCAAGGATACTGTTTTTATTTAAATTGTATATTTACTTTGGGTGGACTAATGGAGATTTGGGAGATAATGTGATGTTCTTAGTTTACAGCGTGTCCATCAAAGGTTGTGTCCAGCAATTCAGTAGTCAGGAAGGATGATAAAGGATAGTAGGAGATGGTAGGCCTGGGGCAGTCAGATCGGGGTGTATTCTCTGACACGTGTATCAGGTATCTAAATAGCACCGTTAAATATTGATGGAATACAAGTTAACTGAAAGCAAAGCACCACTCTATTATGAAAACTAAACAGTGAACTTCACATTGCATTATAGTAAAGTCAGTTTTGTATTTTGTTTTTTTTTTGGAATTGTTTAATTGCCTGAATATGTAGTCTTTCAGAACACAGACTACTGTATCATGTAGCATCATATCACGAAGCAATTGTTTTTCATTTGGAAGTTAAGAACAATTCTTACAAAGACGGACACATCTTGACTACAAAAATGGTATCAGCACAGGCCCATCTAGCACAGGAAACTACACAGTATAAGTCAACGATAGATGGAGTTCCTCAGGACTTGCCTTGTGAATGTTGGCAATTGTTGACCAAAACAAAATTTTAGTTTAGTTTATCTGATATTAAGCTGCTCTTTTTTTATTATACTGAGTCAACAGTTTCAGCTGCTAAAGTTTTCCCACGGAACAATGTTATAATTGGTTGGATAATTGGGAGTTGTGTTCCTGACCAAGGACTCAGCAACAGATAAATCATAGATATAACCAACAAAATGTCATACAAGCGAGATACAACAACCATAAACCTTTAAAATCATCTGAATTAGTAAAATTTTGACCCCAGTACCATAAAATGGGCAAGAATTTTTTAAATAGCACATAAAATGCAGGCCTAATTTATCATAAATTTGACCAATCTAAATTAATAGAAAGATAGCTGTTGTAAACATTGAATTAAAACTTTTGTAGGATAATGTGTAAGGCCTAGTTCTTCAAGAAAAGAAAAGCAAGCTGTCACAGTAAGTTTAAGTGATGCATCCTTTATTCCTCAATAAATTTCAGGGTAGTAAATTTGTCATATAAAAGCCAATAGTTTCTTGAAATGCCAGACCGTGAGGAAGAATGCTTAGGACAAAATACTAACAGACCTTAAATTTAAATTTGCAGCATTTCCATCAACCTTCATGTATAATTAGTTGACACCTGTGCACACACACTCATACACCGACACACACACTATGCCCTCCCTCCTGCATCAGTTCATAGTTACTGCAATCCTTCAGTATGTGAACATAGGGATGTAAGAAACAAGACCAAGAAAACTGCTTTTCATGGTTCCTTTATACTGATGGTTCTTAACTAAGCATGATTTTGCCTGACATTTGACAATGTTTGGGACATGTTTGGTTGTCACTAATTGGGGGATGATACTGGCATCTAGTGTGTAAAGGTCAGTGATGCTGCTAAACATCCTACAATGCACAGACAGTCCCACAGTAAAGAATTATCTGGCCCCAAAGTGCCAAAGTTGAGATACTTTTTTTTTTTTTTTTTTTGAGACAGAGTCTCACTCTGTCACCCAGGCTAGAGTGCAGTGGTGCAATCATAACTTATTGTAGCCTTGACCTCCTGGGCTCAGTTGACCCTCCTACCTCAGCCTCCTCAATTACTGGGATGACAGGTGTGTGCCACCGCATCCAACTACATTTTATTTAATTTTTATTTTTGTAGAGATGGGGTCTCTCTATGTTGCCTATGGCTGGTCTCAAATTCCTGACTTAAAGTGATCTTCTGACCATGAACTCCCAAAGTGCTGGCATTACACAAAGGTTTGTATTGTAGAAAAAAGATGGGGATTCAGCCATTCAGCTTACTTGGATAATTCTTGATAATCTACCTTATTATTCAACAGAAAGTACCACTCATTAGTATCCATATCACAGTTAACCTCCAAAGAAAGCAGGAAACTTGAATATTTTGTTCACCATCCTGATCTTAGCCCAGTGCCCGGTACATTAAGTGGTGGCTTAAGGAATATTTGTTTAAAAAATGAATAAATGAATGAAAAGAGGAAGACAGGATAAGAAAAAAAAAGAAGAGGGGGAAATAAGGGAATGGGTTGTGTTAGGCTCAAAGTTTGCTTGATTTTAGTGAACTTGCACTTCTTTCATTTCCTTGCTTCCAGAAATTGGTAGGCACAGGTCAGCTAATATTTTATTGTTTACTAGTTATTAATTATATTACTAATAGCTTGTTGTACTTAACTTATTATATTAGAAGCAATTAAAGGGCTTCAGTATCATTAATAATCACTGTACAATCGTTCTTGTAGCAACTCTCACATAGAAGATTTTAACGTAATGTCATTGACTTTGAACTGTACTCGAAGTTCGGAAAAGTATTTTCAAAAATGCAAGTACAATGTCTTAATAACCTAGACCTTCACTACAATTTTTGGTGGGCTGTACTGTTTATTTGCGTATTTTGTATTGTTTTGCTTTGTTTTTTATCTTTTTATTTCTTCTGATCTTATCTCACCCCTGAAGCAATATCAGAAAAGTCACCCATGGCTACTTTGGAGTAAGTATTCAGAAAGAATAGAAAGTTATGCCTGCCAGCCACGGTGAAGGGAAGGGGGATAAAGGTGGGAGGTGGCACAAAGATTTCTATTAATAAGACCCAGATTTATTTTTAGCACTTACTATCAGAATCTTTTCCTTCTCTGAGTTATATTTCCTTCCTGAAAACACAATCCAGTGCCAGGATGGTCTTTATTACTAACAAACAAACTAACCAAAAATTTCTCTGTAAAGCCATTTTGACTTTTCCTGGGGCCTAACATCATTTCTATATGTAAAAGGAAATCATTAAATACATGCTGAATTAGTGAATATATTTTGGATCTGTTGTGTGCCATGGGCTATGCTGGGTATTGGTCATGGAGAGGTAAAGGAAGTGTGTCTCCTGCTTTCTATAAAGGGAAACATGGGGTGACCATAATTATTAGCACTGATCAATGGATGCAAGTGTAGAGGAACCAAACAGGGCAAAGGCTGACTGGATCTTCCAAAGTCGCCCAAACAACAGTGTCAGAGAGGTCACTAGAATCCTAGATCAGTGCTAGGCACATAGACAGGCATTCTTACTGGAATTCTTACTTCCCTTCTAACTGCCATTATGGCCCCTCTTTGTTTGCGTTACAGCACACTTTGTAAGCATGGATCAGCTTTGAAGCTTATGTCATTATAAAAATGTGCCCTATTTTTGCAGGCAGGCATTGCAATATCTCTTAAACCCAGCACATGATAAGTTAACTATTTCCTGTAGATAGCAAGCACCAACCTATGTTTATAATTCTTGCTACCCTCCATTAAAATTTAATCTTCTCAGACTGGGCGTTTTGCCATCTTTCTTCTATTTTGACCTAACATCTGTCATCCTTCATCTTAGTCTTCTGTCTCCAGCTTGATGTGCATTGCTAGTTAAGCCTGTGATTGCTCCTTGTCTCCAACTCTTCATCTATTCCATGGGTCCTTTAGAGAATCCTTCTTTGTGGCTGGTAGGCCTTAGGAAAACATTTTCCATGTTGAAAACCAAGGGGTAAAAAAAAGGAAAGAAACTAAATCCTACGTCTAGGTCAAGGCAAAAGCAGCTGGATTGGATTGCAATTTTCCAGCTCCGGATGTTCTCCCTGTTGCCACCAGCTTCCAACTTCCAACAAGGAAAATGAAAAGTGAATTAGCCTGTTGAACCCCAACTCAAGAAGTCAGCAGGTAATGTGAGCACTTTCCTGGAAGATGCGCTTGGGTGAGGCCCTGTCTAACCAACTTGCTGTTTTTAGATTCAGACACATTGGCTCTAAAAGCCGCCACTTGGTAAGAATTTCATACAGACGAATTCACTCTTCTGCAAACCTTCCTGATAAAGCCATGAGATGAGTCCAAACTACCTCATAACCTTGGAGCCAGTCTGTCTGGAAGGGGCCAGAATAATCAGACAAGTGGACTAGTTGAAATCTCTCATGAAATATCTGGAAACAGGTAATAATGAGAAAATGGAATTCCAGATGAAGTTACACAGAAAGAAGAGCCAAGCAAAGGCCATCGTTATTAAAGGAGAATTCCAATGTTTAAGAATAGGCTCCCCTGTAGTTCTCTCCTCCCTGCGACATCAAAGGAAGATCTGCAGCCTACACCTCAGTTGTCTTCACGTTTCACTGCATCTAGCAACCAATTTCGACTGTCATAAAATACAACGCCTTCAGTAACTAACACTGGCCCACAGCCCATGAGCAGGAGCTAAGCGAACCCCGGCGTGACATGCGGCCGTGCTTCAGAGCAGTAAGTCAAAGAGACAGGTGGAGGCATGCACTGTTTGGAACAGTCACTCTCAGAAACCAAACACTGAGTGTCCAGCAGCATGGTTCCCAGGTTCTGCCAGGATCACCAAGTGATCTACTGTTTTCCAGACCTTGGCCTGTCCTCGGCAGAGCTCCGGTCCAGGTGACCCGAGAAAGAACTGTTGATTTTGGAAATGGCTGAGGCTGTATTTCTGCCACAACAGATTGGATCTCTGCTCTCTTTTACTTAATAAAATTTTATTATTAAGCTTGTAGAATACACACACTGTAGAAAAAGCACATCACAAAAAGTAGGAAAAAAACATAAATGACCATCCAGAGATAGTCTTGTGGGTATTTTAGGGTATTCCACTCTGAAGATTTTCTCCTGCATATGATATATCCATGCATACTTTTCAAAAATGAAACCATACCAGCCATGGTCATTTAAAAAATTTAGATATAACATACATACAGAAAAGTGCATGCACACATGTAGAACTCAATCAAATCCATATTACTTTGTAAGTACTATTTTCTTTATTAAATCATTGTGTTTTCCTATGGCTACAGATATTCCACTGTGTTTAATAGCCACATGGTATTAAATTGTAAGAATCTTTCAAATTTAATAGGCACATGGTATTAAATTGTAAGAATCTTCCAATTTCCTTATTCGATATTACTATGAAGTATCTGGTTGCTAGATATTCTGCTGTTAAATATTTTTATATTTTTACATTATGTGGTATTAAAAATTCCTAGATGAAGGAAAGAAAATGCTGTATCAAAGAGTATGCAGATTTTAAAGCTTATGGTATAATTGGCTAAGTTGCTCTTCGAATTATATCTAATGATGCCTTTCTTTTCCATACCTTTTAAAACATTGTGCATTACTAATTTTAAAAATATTTTGATTTGATAGAATAAAGTGGTATATTATTAAGTTTTAATTTGTATTTCTTTGATTTCTAGTAAACTTCATCTACTTGTGGTCCATATTTTTAAATGGCTGTCCAGATGATGCCTTTCCAATTTTTCTATTAGATTGAGGTTGGATGTGAGTCTTTTTCTTACCAATTTGCATATACATCTTACAAAAAAATTAACTAGATAGTTACTTTTAAACGCTGTAACATTATAAAGTAATGTAACTAGATTCTTAGTTACTAGATTTTATAATTAAAAGGTGAGTATCGACTCCCTCCATAAGATAAATAAATTAACAAATTTTTCCTGTTCCAATATCTCAATTTTGGTGAGGATGATGTCAAACTTATCTTAGATTACAGCTGTATAATGCAGTGTGTCTCAGGCACTGTCAACATCCTTGCCTCATCTTTATGCAATTCTGAGTTAAAGGTCCCTCCAGAATTAACGGAGTTGTTAAGCGAATGGGCTGTGATGTTAAACAAATCTGGATTCAAGTCCTTTCTGTAACCTGCTAACCATGTGATATTAGGCAATATATTTAACCTCAGTTTCAGTTTTTTCAGCTGTGAAATGGGAAGAGTAATAACACCTACTTCATAGGGTCTTTTGTGAGCGTTAGATGAGGCAATGCATATAAAACCAGTAAAAGTTAAATGTTAACTGCATTTAGGCACCACTTTACAAGCCTAGTGCCTGACAGAGTGATAACTCAGTAAGTGTTGGCTATATTAAACCAGTATTATTATACCTGTTATTTATGGGCCTTGTCCTGCAATTAGAATCAGGAATTCAAAGCCTAGGAAGGTAAAAACTAGATTAAGCACCACCCCTTATAGAATTTAGTTCCAGGGATGTTGATTTCCTTCTGGGAATATGACATATAACAGTAGTGGGTAAGCTCAGTCAGGACATTGATACTGTATTTCTGAGCTAAGAAAGAGTTGAGAAGCCAGTGAAGTTCATGATTCCAAAGCAGAAACCCAAGTCCCCACTCAAACAATCTCTCTCTCTCTGTCTCTCTCTCTCTCTCTCTCTCACACACACACACACACACACACACACACAAATAGAACAAATATTTCTCCTAATATGTATATCTTACTTCCATCTTCCTACCCTGAATAGAAGCCCCATCCTATTATGGAGACAAAGAAGCACCAGGTAAGCTTATGGTTCTTGACAACAGCATTTTCATGGTAAACAAAAACTGCCTTGCTCGTCTCTGGGAGGCCAGCAATGCTTGGAGGAATACTCACTCTCTGGGAAGATTTGTTACTTCACTTGTCAATTATAAGTTATATAGCATTCTTAAAAATTGTAATTCCCATCTAATTCTTATGCAGCAATAATTGTGCTTATTCTCCTTCTCCTCTCTTCTTCCAGTTTTTAAAGTTGTATTACTGAATAGTCATGTTATCCGTGGAATATCAGTTCCAGGACAACACCTCCCATATCAAATTCCAAGGATGTTCAAGTCGCTTATAAAAATGACTTAGTGTTTGCATATAACCTATGCACATCCTCTCACATACTTTAAATCATCTCTAGACTACTTATAATACCTAATGCAATGTAAATGCTGTGTAAACAGTCATTACACTCTATTGTTCTTTATTTGTATTTTTTATTGTTGCATTTTTAAAATATATTTTTTATCTGTGGTTGTTTTAATCTGAAGATGTGGAATCCACAGATAAGGAGCAACCATATACTTGTCAGGACAATAAAAAATTACACATTATTTTTCTACCATTGATCCTACATTTATTTTAGTTTGGGCTCTATAATTAAATATATTCAAGACCCACTATTAGTCCTTCGGCCAACGTTTCCCCAGTTCTCTCTGATGTGGATGAAGTTTTTCTCCTTGAATAGTACTGTGGAAAGAAAAGCTCAGAGTACAGGATTGCCCGAGTTTTGCAGCCTCAAATCTGCTGAGAGATATCATTGGTGCATACACTCCTTAGATCAAATCCTTGAGTTTCTTAAAATGTTCTCCACTATGGTCTTTGCTTTACTGTCGAGAAGTTTGTTGCAAAAAGCTCTGGAAATGGATGGTTGCACAACAGTATGAATGCAGTTAATGCCACTGAATTGCACACTTTAAAATGGTTAAAATGAAGGCAGGATGCAGTGGCTCATGCCTGTAATCCCAGCACTTTGGGAGGCCAAGGTGGAAAGATCACTTGAGGCCATAAGTTTGAGACCAGTGTGGGCAACACAGTGAGACCCCATCTCTACAAAAAAAAAAGTTAAAAATTAGCCACTGTGGTGGGGTGTGCCTGGGGTCCCAACTACTGGGGAGGCTGAGGTGGGGAGATCACTTGAGCTTGAGGCTGCAATGAACTATGATCACACCTCTGTGCTCCTCCAGCCTGAGTGACAAGTATCTAAAGTGGTAAATTTGTTGTCATGTATATCCTACCACAATAATTTTTTTCAAGGCACCTATTAGATGCCAGAAAATGCTCTAGACCCTGGGTGCACAATAGTGAATGAGAGAGACAGATATTTGGCAATTGTGAAATTTACTGTTCAGAGGGAAATGCAGAAAATAAACAGCATTATATGAACGAGACATAGTGCAGAGTAACGATAAAGAACTTGAACTGAGAGGAAATACATTTCTGTGTTTTAAACCAAAAAAATCTATAAATGTCATAATCAATATTAGCTATGTTTGCTCTATTTCCTTCCTTCATCTCTTTTCATTAACATTTGCTTGCCCTTCTGCTTTTTTGTGAGAAAACATGAATTCTTCAGGTTGTAATCAAAAGAGAGAATGTTTTAAATCAATGAGAAAATCACCCTTCTTATACACAAACTGTTAAGAATTGTCTTCTCACAACCAAGGGTTTCTTGCTGCTTGGAAATGGTAAGTCATCTTTCTGACCCAAATGATTCAAGTAAAAATATTTACTCTATATGAATAGTTTATTTATTTGTTGGGCATACTTATCAATGTTCTCAAACATCAGTGAATGATTCCATCATGGAAAATACTTGAAAATTGTTATCCTGTTACAGGTTTCTTCAGAATAGAACACCTCACTCCATGAATTAATCATGTTATAGAGATTTTACTTGAACGTAATGAAACGATTTACCACACTAAAAATACCATCAGCCACTTGTTTTCAGGCAAACTTGGCTCATATGATAAAACTAGAATGCTTTAGTCATCTTGTACTAAACCTGGATATTGGTGTTATCAACGTAGAAAGTTAAAGAGTAGAAACTCAAATATGTGTTTCAATAAAGGGATTGTTTTATTTTCCCTTTCTTTTTTTTTATTGTACTTTATGTTCTGGGGTACATGTGCAGATCATGCAGGGTTGTTGAATAGGTACTTATATGATAAGGTGGTTTGCTGTCTCCATCCCCCCGTCACCTATATCTGTCATTTCTCCCCATGTTATCCCTCCCCAACCTCGCCACCCCCCCGCACTGTCCCTTCCCTAGCCCTCCAACAGACCCCAGTGTGTGATGCTCCCCTCCCTGTGTCCATGTGTTCTCATTGTTCAACACCCGCCTATGAGTGAGAACATGCAGTGTTTGAGTTAAGGGACCGTTTTATACACATACACATACACACAAATGTATACTTACCTTCCTAATCCTAAATCTCCATCCTCTACCTGAAGGCAATAATAGGTTTTCAGTTTCTAAATAATTTTTATTCTGATAAAATATACATTAAATTTATCATTTTAACCATTTTCAGTGGACAGTTCTGTGTCATTAAGTACATCCACATTGCTGTGCAAACATCATCACCATCTGTCTCCAGAAGTTCTTCATATTCTCACAATGAAACTCTGTCTCCATTAAACACTAACTCCCGATTTCTTCCATCCTGCAATCCTTGACAATGGCTACTTTCTGTCCCTATGAATGTGACTCTTCTATTACATGACAATAACTTTTAAAATTGTAACCTAATTATCCTAATTTTTGATACAGTTAATGAAGCAAATTTGTCCCTTAAACTAACAGATAAACCCCACACTGGTATATATACAAAGACCTTGTGGTGTAAAATCCAAGCTTTGGCCTGGTGGGGACCTGCCTCCATGAGGCAAACACAAAGCCCCTTTATTTGCCCTATTTATATGAACTCCAAACAGCCTTCCTGGCGTTCTGGGCCCTGCCATATACTCAGTATGTTTCTGATGGTGCAAACTCAGTCATAAAAATATCTACAGTACTTGCTTTAAAAGTACTCGCTGCTACTTAACTGTAAACAGACTTGTAATTTGGCTGTAAAAACTCATGAGTTGCTGAAAGGGGCTATAATAAAGTCGTAATGATTGCTGGCGAGAACCTTGCCAGAGGCCGAGGATGGTTGGCCGGTTAGGAAAGACGGTATGCACGATGTAAGCTGCGCCAAGCTTGGGCAGCGGCCGTCCGGTACTGGCTTCTGAGAGGTTCGTCTTTCTATGGTCCTCTAATCCCAAATATACCAAGTGCTGTTGGGTTCATGGCTACTAAGCAGAAAACACAAGGTCAGTTGTCAATCTTAGCCCTACTGGGGATACAGAGGTGCCCTTCAAGCTCCTTGGGTCCCTTTCCCAAAAAGAAAGTAGCAATCTTTCTTTTTGATCGGAGATGTAAGCAGGAGGATGTAACATTTGGAAATGAAGGCTGGAGAGAATGACTGTTTCCTGCTGAAAACAAATCCCATTGAAAGTCCAGGGTGCCATCCCTTGCCTTGTGTGTGATAAAAGAACTCTTCTTGTTTCTGCAGGGATTGCTAGTGGAGGGTTTATCTTAGTAAAAAAAAGCTTTTGTTGTTGTTGTTCATCCTGATGTACTTTCTGGGAGAATATGACCAAAAGGCAGGCCCTTCAGAGCCAGAAGTGACTTGGCACCAGTAGGTCTGTGTGGGGTCTTCCAAAGAGGGCCAAGGAAATTCTCATATTGGACCTCTGGCTCAATAGACTGACATCCTAGCAAAGGCTGTGGTCTTCCTGAGCGGCACGCTTCTCTCCTTCTCCCCTGGCCCTCTTCTTCCCGTTTCTGAACTCTGTCCCAACTTACTTTCCATAATTTGCTGTCCAGGCATTGATGTGGAAATGGGGGCTCCCTGCACTGGGAACTGTCCCTCGAGTGACACCTGTTCTGCCTAGAGCCCATTTAGAGCTCCCTCTCACCCCCATCCAGCTGCACAGCCCTCCAGAGGTGGATGGTTTGGCTAGATAAGTTGTTGACCCCCCTTAACTTTACCAGCACTCCAGGCCCCAGGACAATAGAAAGTAATTTGATTTTGAGTCAGGAGATCTGAACTTAGGGAAATAATTTCTTTATCTTTCAAAGTTTGGGCCCTTCTCTGTAATAGGATAGGATTAAACCCATTGCCTAGGGTGTTTTCTAGCTTTAACAGTTTTGATTTTTTCAGCTACAGGATCTCTCTTGGAACCTGTTTCCCTACCCTCTCAGACAGACAAGGCCAGAACGGAACTGGATGCAGCAATGCTTTTCTGCAGTCAAGGTCCTGGCTTAGACTTAGAAAGAAACGTACAGATCCTGAAAATTATGTTGAAAATATGATTTCATTTACATTAAGATTTTAACATTATTAAATGATTCTAAAAGAAATACAAGGAGATAGGTTTATAGACAGCCTGCTCTCATTAATTCTTTGTGGCTTTGATTTTTTTTAATTGCAAAGTATATTAAACATAAACATATCATTCTATCCACAGAATGTTTTGTTTTACATGTAGTCACAAGTTTTTCTATGATGCTGGATTTGCAGGAAAACCAGCCTGACACTCATCTCATGGTCTCTGTAACTTGGAAGGAAAACACAGGTTCTTATTCTTTGCAGAACCACTCAGGGACAGTGAATGCAAGCTGTTAAAGTTGAAGGTGAGATCATGTGCTTGAATTCTGAGCCCATGGAAGGACTTCAGTAAGTTCTGGTGGGGCACGAAAATGATAACTGTGTTTTAACCCAAGATCTCTTTGCTCTCCATCCCCACTTGCCTGGGTTTGGCTGGATGTGTACCGCCATGCTCCTTATTTCTAGCACTACTGTACAAAATGACCAGTGAATCCCTCTTATGTCATGAGACTGGTTCTGAGTTTCTAGAATTTAAAAAAAAATCCAACACCTCTTTTCATGTTTAGCATGTCTGCACTATTTCAAAGCTTTTTAAGACCATAACTATTCTGCACAATTTCAAAGCTCTTTAAGACCGTCAACTGTCATTCCCCACTCCCTATAACATACGCTTATCCCCCAGCAGAAACCAAATGTATTCTGCACTTCCCTTGATTCTCTTTGTGCTTATTTCTCAATTCTAGTTCTGATTTATTGCCTGGCATCCTTTGCTTTGGGATACATGTGCCAAGAAAGCAACGAGGTTAATGCGGACCTGAAGAGTGCTCTGTGACCCCTGTTTGAAATCACCAGTCATCAAGGCAGTTTGGAAACACCATTCTGCGAGACCTGAGCTTCCAGAACGCCTTGAGGATGACCTTCTTATTGGATTCACACCAACTGCACTGTCCAGTACCCTAAGGTGCTGGTTGTATACACACATCTTGTGAAGATTTGTAGCATTAAAGATTATTCTCATGAGATGGAGAAATAGGGCCAGGTTCCCAGGAGATTCTCCAGGTGTTGAAACAAACAGTAAGGACAGGTTTGTCTGGCCAAGGAGGTGACCAAAGGATCTTAGTGAGAAAACAAGAGGTTTAGGGCCAGCCAAGAGAGTTATTGTTTTCTTCCCTGCTAGCCTGGGTCACTTCTTCATTAGTTATGTCCCCAGATATTGGTCACCAAGATCCCTGAGCCACTTTCCCAATCCTTTGTAACCAAGTTCTGCTTAAAGTCCATGTAAGAGCTGTAAGTCACCTGAAATATCTTCTCTATAGTGGACTTAAGCTTCTCAAAGCCAAATATAGTATGAATCACAAGATGAAAACCTAAAATAATCAGCTTACAGATGGGAAACACTTCCTCACTCCTCCTCCCGCCCCTCCCCCAACCCCACGACATATACACACATACACATCCATCCAACCATTTTTTTCTCTTAAGCTCCAAGGGTCAAAACTAATCCCTGAACTGACAATTATATATATTTTTCCTCATTTATCTTACATTTTGAATTGCACGTGCTTTTAAAAACCACCTAAAATCCTTTGGGGAAAAATAATACATAGGTTAATCACTTTGTAAGTGAAAAATAAATGATGTGCCATTTTTCTTGCAAGAGTTCCCCTTTCACTGCAGCCCAGCAGTCCCTTGTCCTGAGTTCCTTTAGCTTCCTTGTGGAAATGCAGCTTCTAGGCTGCCTTATGGTTTTTGCAGAGCACAGACAGTATCCTGGAAATATGATGTGCTCTTCATTGGCAAGGACCTTCAGAGTTCCTCGGCTCTTTCCTCACTAGCTATTGTCACTCCCCAGCCCAGACCCAGGCACGCACGATGCCTCAGACAAACAAGTACTACTGTTTGAGCCAGCCTGATCTGTGGAATGAACTTTGGAACTCAAAAGGGACTAAAGATAGTTTCTTTCACATCTGCTATGCTCTCAATACAGTTTCAGTAAGAGTTGTTAAATGACTATGTGTTTTATGGGTACGATCTCACTTAATCTGCACAACTAGTTCATCTTGTAGACAAGGAAATAAAAGCATAAAGAGGTTTAGTCCCCTGTTCAACATGAAAGAACGTTGCTGGAACTCAGGTAATTGACTTCACAATTCAAAATTTTGGTTATGCAGGAGGGGCCAGAGGGAAAGAAATAGCTGGGCAGTTGGAGATGGCTTCAGCAAGACCTTGGTGTTTGCTCTGGGCCTTGACTGACAGGAGGATTTGAGAAACGCAGAGAAGGGAGAGGCTGCTTAAGGGAAAGTATGAGCCAAGTTTCCAAATCTGGGAAGCACAGCCTGTCCATCACGGGTTCTTCCCAGGGCCCGGCCAATGCTTCACTGAGAGGGCCTCGCAGCAGCCCCGCAAGATGGAGGTGGGGGTCCTTGTCCTACTACTGTGACCTCTAGACCAGAGAGGGCCAAGGTGTACCCACTCCCCACCAGCTCGCTGTAGCCAGATCTGGCTGAAGCTCCAGGCCAGGGCTGCCTTCTTTATCTTTATAATGAAGGTTAATTTATACTCTGAAGCAGAGTGGTGTGTAATGGCATATATGGTCATATGCTTGGGAAGGAGTGGCAGGTTAAAGACTCAATTTCCTGGCCTCTCCAGCTTTGCGTCACCCTCCTTAATGATATTTCAACATTGAAAGGTTTGAGGAGTTTTTTTTTCCTCTTTAAATTAAATATACAGTAGGTGTTTTGTGTTTAATTTCCTTAAGAAAAAAGTGGTTGTGGGGGTGAAACGGTAAAAACAAAGCAAAACAAAAAGTAGAAAAGAGTCCTGGAAGTTTATAAAAACCACATTGTGTGCTCAAGAGACGGGAGTTACCATTTTGGAGCCTTTTTGTTCTCCTGGGAATGCTCATAACGCCGTCTTATGAGTTTTGTTTGTTGTTGTATTTTTCGTTGTGCTCTTGCTTTCTGTCTCAGCGCGTGCATTGCCTCCTGAGTCGCGTGTCTTTTTATATGCTTCACAGAGGTAGATGGCTGACACCATAGCCTGGAGCAAGGAGGCTTTGGCACAGCCTGTGTTCCATCACGTAATTGCATTCATAGGGCGTATTTATAGCCGCCGAGGTGCCAAAGTGGGAGGCGGAGGGGAAATAAAGGGCCCTGCCTTAAGGAAGGTGGCTCACTGAGTCAGCTACGCAGAGAACCTCTGCTGGTCAGGGTTGGTGTGGAAGGAGGGAGGGAGGGAGGGCAGCCAGAGATGCCAGTCTGTTCTCAGGAAGATCAAGAGTTGTGCACAGCACACATTAAGAAAGCAAGGTGAGAGGAAGGGCACAGCAGGTCGCTCACACTCCTTCCCACTCATCAGAGGTTCTCCCACTGGGCCCTTCAGAGCCATGGGGGGTTCTACAAGGGTGGCTTGGAGGCCACATCTGGGGAAAGAGGAAAAGAAATAACAATGCCTGAGAGCCAGACGTGGCTGTAGACCCCTTCTCCAGCCCCAAGGAAAGCCACTGCCCTTTCCTCTACTTACATGTGAAAGTTCCAAGTGAGATTTTGTTTGAAAGATAGCTTCTTCATTAGCTAGGAAGTTTTGACTCTCCATGATCTGGGAACTGTTCTCTCTGATCCCATGACCATCTCATGGCCCCCTGAGGCCTCACTGAGTGTTGTTCTCTGCCACCCCACCCCCTTTCTGCCCTTGGAAATCCTTCAGGCTCAGCTGGAGTCAGCAGCCCCCACTGAAGGTTCTGCAATGACCACACAATTGGATCTTTCTGCTTCTGAGTGTAACACAACTCACTCTTCCCAGCCACCAGAGTGTCACTCTACAACACAACTTGGATCCTATCCCTGAACTGGTTAAAGCCCTTCTGTGGCTTCTTCATGTGCTGGAAGGTAAACCCCAACTATACCAAGTGTGTGTGTGTGTGTGTGTGTGTGTGTGTGTGTCTGTGTGTAGTTTTATTGAGGTATAATTGACAAATAAAAATTATATATATTTAAAGTGTACGACATGATTTTTGATGAAATCTCACTAGTTTAATTCTATTTTTGTTTCCTGCACTTTGGGGATTGTATCCAAAAAAGTCATTGACCAAACAGTGTCAAGAAGCTTTTTCCTTATATTTTATTCTAGTAGTTTTACAATTCCAGGACTTACATTTAAGTCTTTAATTCATTTTGAGTTGATTTTTGTATGTGGTGTGGGATAAGCGTTCAGTTTCATTCTTCGACATGTGGATGTCTAGTTTTTCGAAAAACATTTCTTGAAGAGACTATCTTTTCCCCACTGTGTTCTTGGTACCTTTGCCAAAAATCAAATCAGCATAAAGGTATGGATTTATTCTGGGCTCTCTAGTCTGTTCCCTGGTTTATATGTCTGTTTTTACATAGTACTATACTGTTTTGATTACAGTAGGTTTGTAGTGTATCTTGAAATCAGGTTTGTGATACTTCCAGCTTTCTTCTTTTTGTTCAAGATTGCTTTGGCTATTTGAGGACTTTTGTGGTTTCATCTAAATTTTAGGATTGCTTTTTCTATTTCTGTGAAAAATGACATTGGAATTTTCATTGGGATTGCATTAAATCTACAGATTGCTTTAAGTAGTGTATTAGTCCATTCTCACACTGCTAATAAAGACATACCTGAGACTGGGTAATTTATAAAGGAAAGTGGTTTAATTAACTCACAGTTCCACTAGGCTGGGGAGGCCTCAGGAAACTTATAATCATGGCAGAAAGGGAAGCAAATACATCCGTCTTCACATAGTGGCAAAAGGAAAAGTGCCGACCAAAAGGGGAAAAGCCCTTTATATAAAAGCCCTGATAAAGGCCCATCAGATCTCATGAGAACTCACTCACTATCATGAGAACAGCAGCCTGGGGGAAACCACCCCATGAGTCAAATATCTCCCATCAATTCCCTCCCACAAGATGTGGGGATTAAGGGAACTGAAATTCAAGATGATATTTGAGTGGGGACACAGCCAAACCATATCAGGTAGTATGAATATTTTACCAATATTAATTCTTCCTATCCATAAACATTGGATATCTTTGCATCAGTTTCTTTCATCAGTGTTTTGTACTTTAAGAATATAGATCTTTCAATTCCTGGGTTAAATTTATTCTTAAGGTTTTAAAATTTTTTAATGTTATCATAAATGGGATTGTTTTTCTTATTTTTTTTCAAATAAGTAATTGTTAGTATATAGAAACACAACTGATTTTTGCATATTGAGTTTGTAATCTGAAACTTTACTGAATTTATTTGTTTGAATCAGGTTTTTTTGGTGGAATCTGTAGAATTTTTCTATATATAAACATGTCATTTGCAAAGAGGAACAATTTTACTTCTTTCTTCCAAATTTGGATCACTTGAATTTTTTAAAAATCTAATTTCTCTGGCTAGGGCTTCCAGTGCTATCTTGAATACAAGAGATAAGAGTAGAGGCCGGGCGCAGTGGCTCACGCCTGTAATTCCAGCACTTTGGGAGGCCGAGGCGGGTGGATCACGAGGTCAAGAGATCGAGACCATCCTGGTCAACATGGTGAAACCCCGTCTCTACTAAAAATACAAAAAATTAGCTGGGCATGGTGGCGCGTGCCTGTAATCCCAGCTACTCAGGAGGCTGAGGCAGGAGAATTGCCTGAACCCAGGAGGCGGAGGTTGCGATGAGCCGAGATCGCGCCATTGCACTCCAGCCTGGGTAACAAGAGCAAAACTCCGTCTCAAAAAAAAAAAAAAAAAAAAAGAGTAGACAGCCATATCTTACTTCTGACCCTAAAAGAAAAGTTTTCAGCTTTTGGGCATTGAAAATGATATTAGCTGTTAGATTTTATTATGTGGCTTATATTACGTTGAGGCCCATAGTACCATACTGTGTTGATTACAATAGCTTTGTACTATATCTTGAAATCAGATTGTGTGATCCCTCCAGTTTTGTTCTTTTTGTTCAAGATTGTTTTTGCTACTTGAGGACTTTGTAATTTCATACACATTTTAGGCTTTTTTTTTTTCCTATTTTCTTTTATGTCTAATTTGTTGAGGGTTTTTATTATAAAAAGATGTTAAAGTTTTTCAAATGTTTTTCTATATCTATTTAGATAATCAATAATTTGCATTTCATTCTGTTAATATGGTGTATCACATTTACCTATTTGCATATGTTGAACTATCCTTGTATCCCATGGATAAATTCTACTTGATCATAATGTGTGAATCTTTTTTTAAATTTTATTTTAGGTTCAGGATATGTGTGCAGGTTTGTTATTAATATATAGTTAAATTGAATGTCAGTGAGGTTTGATGTACAGATTATTTTGTCACCCAGCAATAAAAATAGTACCCAATAGGTATTTTTTCCGATCCTCTCCCTTGTTTCACCCTCCACCCTCAAGTAGGCCTCAGTGTGTATTTTCTCCTCTTGGTGTCCATGTATCCTCATTGTCTACCACTTATAAGTGAGACACACGTGATATTTGCTTTTCTGTTCCTGTGTTAGTTTGCTTAGGATAATGGTCTCTAGTTCTATCTATGTTGCTGCAAAGGTCGTGCATGATTTCATTCCTTTTTATGGCTGTGTACTATTCCATGGTGAATATGTACATTTTCTTTATCCACTCTACTGCAGGCAGGCATCTAGGTTGATTCCATGTCTTTGTTATTGTGAGTAGTACTGCAATGAACATACACATTCATGTGTATTTATGATAGAACAATTTATATTATTTTGGTTATATACTCAATAATGGGATTGCTGGGTTAAAATTGTATTTCTGTTTTAAGTTCTTTAAGGAGTTTCTACGCTGCTTTCCACATGGTGAAACTAATTTATATTCCCAACAGCAGTGTATATATAAGTGTTCTCTTTTCTCTGAAACCTCACCAGCATCTGTTATTTTCTGATCTTTTAATATTAGCCATTCTGGCTGGGTATACGATGGTATCTCAATGTAGTTTTGATTTGCATTTCTCTAATGATTAGTGATGTTGATATGCTTCTTGGTCACATGTATATCTTCTTTTGAAAAGTGTCTGTTCATGTTCTTTGTCTACTTTTTAGTGAGGTGGTTTTTTGCTTGTTGATTTAAGATTATTATAGATTCTGGATATTAGACCTTTGTTGGATGCACACTTTGCATATATTTTCTCACATTCTGTAGGTTGTCTGTTTACTTTGTTGATATTTTCTTTTTTGTGCAGAAGTTCTTCAATTTAATTAGGTCCCATTTGTCACTTTTTGTTTTTGTTGCAATTGCTTTTAGCATCTTCATCATGAAATGTTTGCCAGGTCCTATGTCCAGAATGGTATTTCCTAGATTTTCTTTCAGGATTTTTACAATCTTAAATCTTCCATTTAAGTCTTTAATTCATCTTGAGTTGATTTTTGTATATGGTGTAAGGAAAGGGTTCAGTTTCAATCTTCTGCATATGGCGAGTCAGATATGCCAGCACTATTTTATTTGGATAGGGATCCCTTTCTGTAATGCTTATTTTTGTCAGCTTTGCTGACAATTGGATGGCTATAGGTGTGCAGGATTATTTCTGGACTTCATGCTGTTTCATTGGTCTATGTGCCTGTTCTTGTGTCAGTACCATGATGTTTTGATTTCTATAATCTCAACCTTGTAATATAGTTTTTTGTTTTTGTTTTTGTTTGCTTTTGTTGTTGTTGTTTTCTTGAGACAGAGTCTCTCTCTGTCACCTGGACTGGAGTGCAGTGGCGTGATCTTGGTTCACTGCAACCTCTGCCTCCCAGGTTCAAGTGATTCTCATGCCTCAGTCTCCTGAGTAGCTGGGATTACAGGCACCTGCCACCATGCCTGGCTAATTTTTGCATTTTTAGTAGAGATGGAGTTTTGCCATGTTTGCTAGGTTGGTTTTGAACTCGTGACCTTAGGTGATCTGCCCATCTAGGCCTCCCAAAGTGCTGGGATTACAGGTGTGAGCCACCATGCCCAGCCCCTTGTAGTATAGTTTGAAGTCAGGTAAATTAATGCAGCCAGGTTTGTTCTTTTTGCTTAGGATTGCCTTGCCTATTCAGGCTCTTTTTTGGTTCCATACGAATTTTAAAACAGTTTTTTTTTCCTAATTCTGTGAATATTTTTTAATAACTTCTTTCTTTTTTGATTTTTTTTGACTCATTTGTTGTTCACTGGTATGTTGTTTAGTGTCCATATATTGGTTAATTTACCAATTTTCCTCATGATATTGTTTTCTATTATTAGTTTTATATAATTATGGTCAGACAAGATACTGGATATGGCTTTAGTCTTCTTGAATTTGTTACAACTTACTTTGTGGCCTACCTAACCTTTGATTTATCCAGAAGAATGTTCCATGTGCATTTGAAAAGAATGTGTATTCTGCTTTTGATGGACAGAATATTATTTTTATATCTGTTTGATCTATTTGATCTATAACATTTGAACAGTATTGCTCAAATCCACTGTTTCCTTACTGGTTTTCTGTCCAGATAATCTAATCATTGTTGAGAGTGGGGTATTGAAATCCCCTACTGTTACCATATAAACGTCTACTTATTTTTTCTTCTGTTACTATCAGCTTTATATATTGAGGGCCCTGATATTTGATGTATATATATTTATAATTGATATATCTTCTTGATGAATTGAGCCCTTTATCATTTTATGATGATCTTTTTCTCTTGGGACAGTTTTGACTTGAAGTCGATTTTGTCAGATATAAATATAACCACTTCTGCTCCCTTTTGGTTACCATTTGCACAAAATATTTTTTCCTACTCCTTCTCTTTCCGCCTGTGTGCCTCCTTAAAGCTAAAGTGAGTCTCTTGTAGGCAACATATAGTTAGATCTTATTTTTCAAAATCTATTCATCCACTCTGTCAATTTACATTTAAAAGTAATTACCAAGTCTGGGCACAGTGGCTCATGACTGCAATCCCAGCAGTTGGAGAGGTCAGGATGAGAAGATCATTTGAGGACAGGAGTTTGAGAGCAGCCTGGGCAACAGAGCAAGACACACACACACACACACACACACACACACACACACACACACACTTTTTTAATTAGTCAAGTGTGGTGGTACGTACCTGCAGTCTTAGCTACTTGAGAGGCTGAGGAGGATTGCTTGAACCCAGGAGTTTGAGACTGCAGTGAGCTATGAT